GAAACCTCACCGCCGCCCTAGATATAAACCACCCTCCTAAGGGCAAGAGCAGGCAGGTGATGTCGGGCAGGGACCCTGCCCAGGAGAGGTGGAAAGGGGTGGGCAGTGGGTGAGCTTTGGAGCTTCCCCAGGGCTGCAGGATGTTGGGGTACAGATGTGATCCCTTTTTAGACGTGGGCCTGTTCCGACTGTCGCAACTGAAGGGTGATCGGCAACTTCATAAGCAGGCTGAGCTGGGCGGAAAGGCAAGGCAATGTGAAGGCTGGAAGACCGGGTAAGAGGTTCAGTAGAGAGGAACCTTTCTTCCTACTGAAATCATTGCCTGGGATGCTGCCCTGCTCTGGGCCAGCATGGGGTGCATCTTCAGTGAACACAAGAGAGCGGCGTTAGAGGAGGAGGAAGACCAGCTTCCCCTGATCACACCCCCCAGCCATGGGGCTGGTCGTCTTGATTGGCAGCTCCCTGCTGGCTCTCCCCATCTGTACAGTATCTCTTTGTAAAACGGCTGCAAAACATGAGCAAAGGTGGGGCCCTAATTTATCTTTAAAAACCATGAATGCAGAACTGACGTAATGGTTTTTTTTTTTTTTTTTTTTTTTTTGCTATGCTGTCTTGTATACACTTTGTATTGGGGTATAAAAATCACCTGCGTAGAGCTCAGTGAATTTCACACAGTAAAGTCTGTGTATAAGTCACACCCAGATCATTTCCAGAGCCCCAGAGGCCCTCTCACCCTCCCCAGTCAGTACCCACCCCTTCAGGAGACCACTCTCCATACCCCAAACGCCACAGATTCGTTTGGCCTGTGCTTGAACTTCATATGAATGGATGTGCCTAGAACGGTCTTAATTTTTCCCCTTGACGTTGTTTCTGAGACTCATCCCATTGTTTCATCTGTTCTGTTGACGAACATTTAGGTTGTCTCTAGTATCTTACTCCTGTGAACGTTGCTGCTCCAAACCTTCTCTACAGGCTTTTGGTGAGCATAAGTGTGCGTTTCTGTTCACAGCTCCCCCTCTGAGTTGTATGCCAGGTCACAGGGTAGGTGTATGTTCAACTTAAGTAGAGACGGCCAGTTTTCCAGCATGGGTGACTACTTACGCTCTACCAGTAGAGTGTCACTTCCAGTTACTCCACATCCTCATCAACACTTGGTGGTGTTGGTCTGTGTCGTTTTTGCTGTTCTAGTGCTTGTGCATGGTTTCAGTTTGCATTTCTCTGATGACTAATGGGGTTGAATAACTTTTTATGTGTCTATTGGCTATATTATGATCATTTTGATAGCCAGATAATAGTGTGTCTTATGGATGTTCCAGAACATTCTTTTCTTACCTGTAGCTGGACATTTGGATTGCTTTATTATTATAAGTAATGCTACAGTAAGCATTTTTACCCAGTAGTCTTTTCCGTGTTCTAGACTATTGGCAAGAGTTTTGTTATCATTTACACATTTTGATCATTAATGCCAGATGGCTTTCTGAATGTTTGAACTACTCCAAGATGTACTAACAATGTAGGAGAGTCCTAGACAGCTTCCCCCAGGTCCTCCAGCAATGTGTATTCTCATTAAAGAACAAACAAAACTCTTTAGGAGGACTAATTTTGGTGAAGGAAAGCATATTTAGCATTGTGTTACTTAAATGAGTTTGGTCACTTTTTCAAAATGTTTACCACGTGTGTTCCTCATTTATGAATTCCTACCTTTTGCCACTTGCATTTTGGTGAGTTTTTTGTTAATATGTACAAGCATTACTGTAAAAAGCAGATGTTAGTATGGTAAGCACTTTCCTGTTTTACCAGTCACATTGCATATTGGTTCACTCGTGTGCCTTTGACGTTCACCAGCAAATCTTCCCCTTGGCGATTTTTATTGTGGCTCCCCCACCAGGACCCTGCCCTGCCTGCGGAGATGCCCAGGCTGAAGGTCCCTGGGCACCCCTAATGGCAGGGATGGGAGCACAGCCTGCAAGAGAAACTGAGTTGGCCCTGGGCTAAGCACTCTGCTCTTGCTGTCATCTGATTCCCCAAACCTGGTGCTTTGAGAGGGATGGCTCATGAGCTGAGCCCTGAGGCCTGTCTAACAGCCCCTGTGGTGCTGGGACTGGGTGGGGCCTGGGGGCCCAGCAGCAGCAGCAGCAGCAGCATTGTGGGAGCCCAGTGGAGTTTGCAGAGCCCTCTCCTGTTCATGCACATTTGGTTTTCATTGCAGCCCCATGAGACGGGTGCAGCCCATCCATCCCGAAGGGCAGGGCCTTAGAGGGCCTTGCTGCTTCTCCCAGGGCCTGTAGTTTGTGAGTGGGGAAACTGGTCTCAGATTCTCATCTCCTCATCTCCCTAAACCACACCCAGCTGCCCACTTGGCTCTTTAGGACAGGCCCAGACACCCCAAAAGATCAGCCCTGCAGGGGAGAGGCAGATGTGCTTTCTCTTTCTCATTCATTTTGGGTTTGAGCAAAACTTGTATTTTTGAGCCAGAAGGTTGGATTGGGGTGTGGAGCTCAGACAAACATCGATTAGCTCTTGGCCTCTCCACGTTTCCAGGCATTGCAGTCTCAGGAACTTCATGTTTGAGCAGCTTGTTAAGTTTTCGCTTTCTTATTTTTAGATGATGGATTTGGACGTGCTTCTATGAAGAAATGCCACATGGTCCGAGAGCAAACATGTCCAGTAAGTTGTTTGGTGAATTAACCCAAGGACAGGAGCCCAGGTCCTTCAGGCACAGGGTGTGGACACTCTTTGAGAAGACAGGGCTGTCTCTGGAAATAGGAAGACCCCTGAGACAGTGTTTAAACCAGGCTTACTGCTCAGTCTAATTATCTTAACTTCTAAAGGTTGGTTCTTTCTAGAGACAGCAGGAGTTGTAGCACATAGGGTTGGAAAAACCTGAAACTCCCTTCTTGCTGCTTAACCTAGTTCTGAGAGCAGAGTGTGAGCTCTGGAGCTCGGAGCCATGTGAAGCGTCTGACTCAGCCTGTGGCAGTGTTTTACCCAGAACCCTCCCTTTCCACAGCACAGCACCCCCCACCTCGCTTAGGCCTAGATTACGTGCTTTGCGGGAAGCAAAGCCTGAGACCCAGACACGTGAAGTTTATGCAGCTCCGGGAAGAAAGCCAGCAGGCTAGAGTTGTGAGCTTCGTCCCGCTAGTGTTTTGCCACCTCTATGTAGCCCGTGGGCAGCAGACTCTTCTGCAGCCCTTACCCTTGTCACAGAGGCTGTGTTGAATTGATTTAAATTTTTAAAAGTTCTACAAGACTTGCCAACAGAAGAGCGTAATAAAGAGAACAAGAAAATCTCAAAAGCCATATTTTATGATTATATGAAAACCGTAATTCACTGTGGCATATCTCCATTGAAGAGGACAGGACATCCTCAAGGGATCCCATGGACACCCTGTGTTGGGGAGTGGGGAGGAAGAAGTGACCGGAAGGGGCGGGGAGCAGCGGACGGTCCACCCCGGTTCCTCACATGCTGGAGAACCCTGTCCCTGTACCTTGCCCCCATTAGGTCACGTTCTTTCTAAATGAGAGCATGGTTTCTCTCGTCACCATCCCCCTGATTTCTTACCAGTACTCCTTTTCTCAGGGCTACTGCCACTTTAGCGGACTAGGGCTCGGTGCCAAGGCTTCCCGGGTAATCAGGCGTGGTCTGATCCAGGATCAAGAAGCACGTTATCACCAATGACATCATGACAGCAAGAGAGCACAGCCCTCGCCATGGCGCCAGGGCCCGTGCGGTGCAGCGGGCTTCCACCATCGACGTGGCGGCCGACATGCTGGGCCTCTCTCTGGCAGGTGAGCCTCACAGGGCCTACACCGGGCTCCAGGTATGAGCTCACAGCGCATGGGCTCCACACTGTGGCAGTGCTGGGAGGGACCCGATGAGTCCCCACGACTACCCTAGACTACAGGGTACCCTGGTTTGGCATCCTTTTGGTTGAATGAGGAAATAGGGAAGGGGGGCATCAGCTCTCTTCCTGTGAACCGCTTCTGCTGGAGCCTGACTACATTCGTTTTCCAGTGTGGTGGGGGGCACCAGCAGGGTACTGTGGGAATGTCCGAGTGTCTGGCTGGCTCACGCCCAGGCAGAGGTAAAAGCCCTCCCTGTTGTGGATGTGTAGATCCGAGGAGAAGCAGGGGTTTGGCTGTGGGGTCAGGGGCTTCTTAGCAATCTCAAAAACAAAGTATTTTTAAAATAAAGAAATTGTCTTGCATGGCAGTTTTTGTTGTTGTTGTTGTTGTTGTTGTTGTTGTTGGGGGAAAGTAAAGGGTTATTTGTGCATTTAATCTGAAAACAGGGAAAAGTTTATTAAGGGTGATTTTTCTGTCATTTCTTTTCTATTCAGGAAATATACAGGACCCAGATGAGCCCATTTTAGAATTTAGCTTAGGTAGGTATCTTTCATTATTTTTTGTCTTAAAAAATATTTTACTTAAAAATGAACACAAAAACACGACCACCAGCACATGGGCTTGTCTCAGAGAGCTTGCTGCCGCCGCCGCCACTGCCGCAGTGTTTCTGAGAAGGCGGGGCCCTCACAGCTGTCAACTTCTGTGGATGGGAAGGCACCTCGGAGGCTCCGTGCCCACAGGTTCCTGGCTCCTCAGCACGGGGCCCGCTTCCTTAGGGGTGTGCTCTCCACAGGGGGCTGGGGACGGGGAGGTGAGCCCACCTAGAGCTGCCGACAGAGCCCTCCCCACCCCCACCCCGATGGGAGAAAGGGAAGGAGGGGCTGGGAAAACCGGGCGTAGAGTTCAGCTTTGTTGCCCCCGGCTGCAAAGCCTTGTGTTGGCTGAGTTTCACTCTCCAGCCCTCAGTTCCCTGTTGTATAAAAGGCAACACTGGCACCTGCGTGCTGTCTTTCTCAGGATCAGATAAGAATATACTGAAAAGTGGATCAGAATGTGCTGAGTCTGGGGTCAGTGATGCGTGGCATCCCTGTGCTTACCCAGAGGCCTGAGACGCCTCTCCATCAGAGCCCAGTGCTACCCAGCACTCCGCTCCCCTTTTCCCATTCCTTGGTCAACATGAGTTGGTGGCCTGGCACCAATGTCCAAGAGGTGATGTGACATAAAAGAGGCACCTCCTGGGGAGTCAGATGACCTGGATTCCAGCCTTGACCATGCCAGGCTAACCACGTGGCCTTGAGCCTGCCACTCGACCTTGCTGGAACAGTTTCCTCCTGTGGTACATGAGGATTCTACTGCTTGTTTGAGAGACAAAGAAGATCAAGGTGGTTAAGCACCCCCCAGCCCCAAAAGACCTGGACAAATTGCAAAACCCATAAAAGTGTAAGTACACTACTGGCCGGGTACAGGAGCTCACATCTGTAATCCTAGCACTTTGAGAGGCTAAGCCAGGAGGATTGCTTGAGGCCAGGAGTTTGAGATCAGCCTGGGCAACGTAGTAAGACCCTGTTTCTAAAAAAGAAAAAGAAAAAGAAAGTACCTGGCTGTGGTGGCACACACCTGTATTCCCAGCTACTGAGGAGGCTGAGGTGGAGGGCGCCCTTGAGCCTAGGAGTTTGAGACTGCAGCAAGTTATGATTGGGCCACAGAGGGATACCCTGTCTCTAAAAAATAATAATGAAAAAGAAACAAAAAATAGAATTTGGAAGAAACTGAGACATTGCAGAAAGTTTCAAAGAAATTATAATTTGTATTGGCCAGGTGTGGTGGCTCACTCCTGTAATCCCAGCAGTTTGGGAGGCCAAGGTGGGCGGATCACCTGAGGTCAGGAGTGCAAGACCAGCTTGGCCAACATGGTGAAACCCTGTGTCTACAAAAATACAAAAATAGCCAGGCATGATGGCGGGTGCCTGTAATCCCAGCTACTCAGGAGACTTAGGCAGGGGAATAGCTTGAAGCCAGGAGGTGGAGGTTGCAGTGAGCCGAGATTGCACCATTGCACTCCAGCCTGGGCAACAGAGCGAAACTCTGTCTCGGAAAAAAAAAAAAAAAAAAAGAATTATAATTTATATACTCAAGAAAACATAGTATATCTATAAAACAAAACCAGGACACTATAAAGATAAAAAGAACAATTGAAGAACAGGAACAATCTTAGATATTTAAAATATGATAGACAAAATTTAAAAAATTCTGTAAAGTTTGGAAGTTGGTCAAGGAATTCTTCCAGAAAGTAAGATTTTAAAAACAAAATAGAAAATGGGTAGGATATAGAAATGGAAATTTTGAGAGTAAATCCAGAAGGTCCAATATTTAGAAGAAAAAACAGAAGAGAATGTAAGGGAGGAAATGCAAAGAAAGAAGAAATCTCCAAGAACTGAAGAATGTGTCTGTAGGTTAAAAGTGTCTACCAAGGCCCAGCACAACGATGAAAGAGACCCATAGCAAGATATGCTGTGGTGAAATTTCAGATCATAGAGAATAAAATGGAGATCCTAAAAAGTTCCAGGAAGAAAATAAAACAGATCATACCCAAGGATCAGGAATAAAACTGGCATGGAATGTCTCGGGGACACCGGAAACTGGAAGACAGTGAGACAGCACCTTTAATTATATTTTCAACCCAGAATTCTCTGCCCAACCAGACTATCAGTCAAATGTGAGGGGAGGAAGAAACTTGTTTCAGCTGCACAGAGTTGTACCGCAAAAATTTACTTCCCCTGCATTCTTTTCTCCGGAAGCTAGTGGAGGATGTGTTCCCATCCTAAAGAGGGACCACACTGAGCAAAGAAGTCATGGGATCCAGGAAACAGGGTCATCACAAGAGGGAAGTGGAAGGAATCCCACATGGTTTTTAATGAGTAATATGTGCTTAACTTTCATCATGACACTGTGGATTTAACAAAAATTGAGCTAAAATGATTGCATATGGAGAGAGGATGACAGTTGGTATAATTGAGTTAAAAATCCTCATCCCCTATAAAAGAAATCAGGACATTTCTGAATCTGGTGAATGGAAAACAGTAATATAGTCATGTTAATTGGGCACATGGAGGAATAAACTGCTTTAAAAAGTAAGGATGAGTTTTATGTTAAGTGAATTTTACCCCAGTTTTTTAAAACGGGAGGAGCCGGGCGCGGTGGCTCACACCTGTAATCCCAGCACTGTGGGAGGCCGAGGCGGGTGGATCACAAGGTCAGGAGATTGAGACCATCCTGGCTAACACGGTGAAACCCCGTCTCTACTAAAAATACAAAAAATTAGCCGGGCGTGGTGGCAGCGCCTGTAGTCCCAGCTACTCAGGAGGCTGAGGCGGGAGAATGGTGGGAACCCGGGAGGTGGAGCTTGCAGTGAGCCGAGATGGCACCACTCCACTCCAGCCTGGGCGACAGAGCAAGACTCCGTCTCAAAAAAAAAGGAGGAGCAGGAGCTGAATTATTGAATGGACAAATGTGTTGACTTTTAAAATAAAAATTTACAATTTAAAAAATGTATGTTCATTGTGAAACCTTCAATACAGAAAATGTTGAAGAAAAAGAAAAGTTTATTGCAGCGAGGTTGTCAGTTATCACTTTGGTATATATCCTTCCAAGTATATATGTTTGACCCTCACAGAGTACTGTATGGAGATTTTTCATGATTTTTGGTTGTGGAAGTGATAGAATTATTTCCAAACATGTCATCATAGTGCTCTTGACATTCTTTTTTCATGTAGCAAAACATCTTTTTTAATATGTATGGGATCTGCTTCATCATTTTAAATGCCTTCACAGAGCTCTAATAGCACTGTGCCATACTTATTTTAGCCAGCCTCCTACTGTTGGACTTTCAGGTTCTTCCCAATTTGCCATTATAAACACCATCACAGTGAACGTATTTATGTATAGATCTTTCATACATTTTGCTGATTATTTCCTTAGGATATACTCTTGAATATAGCATTGTTGAATCAAATGTATGCAGTTTACCTCAACAGCATTTATTTAGCGTTTATTCAGCTGGGATTACAGATGATCAGGTTGGAGAGACAAGGCTTACACATCAGAGGTGTGTGGTTTCTATGGAAATATGCCCAATGAGTGACGTAAGTGAGCCTGCAGGCTGCTCAGAGAAAACTTAATGGAAGCTATGGAACTTGAGCCAGGCATCAAACCCTGGTTGAAATTTAGATAGGCTGGGTTGCGGGAGGAGGCCAGGAGAGAATGTCCCTTGTAGGAAGGCATGTTCTGAAGGTGGCCATAGGACCATCAGCCCTTAAAGTAATCTCAGTCTTCCCAGCCTTTGGCCACCTGCTGTACCTTAGTCCGTCTGCCATCTTTACTGCCTGAAAGACCTGAATATTCCTACCTTGCATAGGTGTCAAGAAAACTCACACCTGATAAAAGGGCAAGTAGAGGGAGGTCACAGGTCGCTTAAGGGTACTTTGTAACTTAAAGGAGAGACAAGTAGATCAGTCAAATTGGGGGATTCCTGTTGAGGCAGACATAATGGAAGAAACAAGAGAGAACTTAAAATAGTAATAAAACCTTGAAGCCTCTAGAAGAAAAATAGGAGAACTTTCAAACTCAGGGTAGGCATAGATTTGGACAAAGCACAAAAAGCACTTCGTTTTAGTTTGCTACTGCTGCCATAACACATTACCACAAATTTAGCAGGTTAAAGCAATACAAATATGTGATCTTACAGTTCCCTTAGATTAGAAATCCAGTGTACTCACTGGGTCTTTGCGTAGAGTCTCACAACACCAAAATCCGCGTTAGCAGGGCTGGATTTATTTAGAAGGCCTCTAGGGCCTGTTTCCTATCTATTTCCTTGCTCATTCACGTCGTTGGCAGAATTCAGTTGCTAGTGGTTTTAAATTTTAGGACCCCAGCTTTTGGCTAGCTATCAGTTAAGGCCCGCTCCCAGCTCATAGAGGCCACTCACATTCCTCTTGTGGGCTTATAGCCCTCTTCCTCCATCTTCAAAGCTGGCAGTGGCAGGTCTAGTGGCCCTCCATGCTTTGAATCTCTCCTGCCTCTTCTTCCGTTGTTATATCTTTATGATTCACCCTAAGGCCTTCCTCTTCTACTTTTAAGGGCCTCTGTGATAGATTGAGCCCATCCGCATGATCCATCTGAAGATCCCGTAATCACATCTGTAAAGTCTCTTTTGCCATGTAATGTCATCGATTCGTAGTTTCTGAGGATTAGGACATAGATACTTTTTATCAGGGAGGGGCTTCTCTGCCTACCACTCCCTAAAATTTAAAAGGGATACATTGAATTTCATCAAAATAAGAAACTGCTGTCCATAAGAGACATCACTAAGAAAATGAATAGATGAACCACAGACTGGAAACAAATATTCACAACACATATACTTCACAAAGGACAAATAAATAGTGAAAAAGTAAACAACCCAATTTTTAAAATGAGCAAAAGACTTGAGCAGATGCTAGACAAAATAAGTTATACAAATGAACAATAAACAATAAAATGA